TCTAAGGCAAATAAATCTCTTATAGCGTGTCAGATTCCAAGAGTGCACGTGGTGAGTATTACCGGTTGTCTGAAAGATTTATGGTCAAATAAATAATCATAGAAAATTTCATTCATTCATTTTTTTTGTCCCCTTTACCATTCCTTTCAAAGTACCTATTTTAAAAGTCAATCCGATCAACTCATTCGTCTTCAACCATCCTAATTTTTGATCTTGCATTTAGTTTATTGTTTTTTTTTTGAGAATTCCAAGTTTGTATTTGTGTTTAAGAAATAGTTTTCTTTTCTCGTCAATAAAATTTACTCTAGTTTGTTCAAATTTGCTCTCATTATTCCTTCCTGCCAATCCTGTCCTCATCTCAGGAAAATCACCTCATTATATTTTTGATCACGCACTTCAAGTGTGTTGGCGCCCGAACCCAGGCGTCCCGACGAGCATCTGGCACCCTAAATTTGTGGCTTGATCTGCTGAAGCTCGATCCTTTCCNCTCCCCCCCCCACTAATCCGTTCTGAGGGTTTGACACATGAAGGAAGCGGTACCCAAATATGCACATGCGGCTAAAAATGGTACCAAAATAGGAAACATGAACCACTGACAATGTACGAATTTAAGCATTCTAATATTTATCTCCTCCTCAAAATTTTCACGTAGAGCACGCTTCTCGCGACAAACATAACTGATAGCAACTCCAAACAAAGACGATGACGTTTGTCGCATTGTTCACGAATAATTTGAATTTCCCGCTCACAAAAAAAAAAAAAAAAAAAAAAAACCATGAGTCTACTTGAACCAAATCACGCACTACAACGGTTCCGGCAGGCTTTTCAATCTCGTAGTTTTCCTTCCTCACCCTGTGTGTCTAAAGCGTAAGCAGCGTGCAGTAGCTGAGCCGAAGCGCCGAGATTAAGACCGGTTGTCATATTTTCATATCGCGCACATTGCCACGGTAACGCCCAGTTTGCGATGCAACTCAAATAGATAATTTCTTTTTCAATTAGTGCGGGAAGTTCGAAATGCATCGAAAATAGCTGATATCTTGTTTGAGTAGTAACCTCCGTTGTATGAACCGTGTTCTGCGTGAAATTTTGATGATAAAAAATACGTAACAATGTCAAAACTGACCGCCTCACGGTCCAACCCTCCCTCCCCCCCCCCCCCCCCCNGGCGCTTCGCGCATCAGGCATTCTACGCCACGAGTCTAATTTTAGACAATAAATTAAAATTTTCACCTTGTCTGGTGGTCCAGTTTGACTTTCAGAAGTGGGCGGGGGGAGGGGGGCGGCTGCATGGCGACATGGAGGCAACGGGGCTGGCCTGTAAACGTAAACAATGTGTGTATGAGGGGACCTACAGATTTTCAGTCTAAGGTTCAGGGCATGATTTTATTCTTTTACTTTTTACTTTATACTCTTCCAACGATCGGCCCACGTGGAGAGCAGGGACAGGATTTTCCCTTACATCCTGAATTCTCGTTGATGATGTTTCCAGGAATCTTATAGCTTTCAAGAATTTTAGCTTTTTAGCTTTTAAAAAAAGAACGGCACACTTTTCTCTTATCATTTCTCATTGCTTTCTATTTTTTTCTAATTTTGCATTTTAAAAAAAATGGGAGGAAAAAAATGCTTCCTTTATCCGACGTAACTTTGGTGTCATCATGGTAAAGAGAACGCAATTTTCTTAAAAAATCTTCATCTCAGTTACTTATACATATCCGCTCACTTTGAAGCTTTTTAATGAGAAAAATGGCTCAACTTTTCCCGTAAACCCCGCTGACCGCTTGTCTAATGCCTGCTGATTAGAGTTTCCGTGCATTTCTATGTCACACTGTCAACACTGCTCACGCCTCTTGATTTTCCGTCTGAGGCAACCAACTGTACTGCAGTCTGTTATTAGGCGGACATTTCAAAGATTTCTCTGAACTCATGCTCTTTGAAGGAGGGTGATTATCATTCTAACAGAATAGAATATTCCAGCTTGAGGGGCTCCCCCGAAAATCTCCGCAAATGTTCGAGCTACAAGCATCGTTACTCCTCTGGCGTAAAAGTTTGTTCCAGGAACAACTCATGTGCTAATAGTTTCCTTTTGCAGATAGATCCTATTATGATAAGCCAGGAATAGTGGTTCCTAGTTGCAAAATGAAGTTTAATTACTGCTAAGTATCTCATGCGCATTTTCAATTCATTTTGGTATCACTAGAAAAGTTTCATTTCTCCTTCATTTTTGCGTACAGGCAATACTTCTTTCGTGGCTGTCAAGAATTTTTAAAAGCAAACTACAACTTCGATCATGCGAATCAACTGCAGGTTTTTTTTTCACCAATGAAGATGGTCATTCAAGATATGGTTTAAAATTAGAAACTGAGGTATATAAATTGGATCAAATTTTGCAATAAAAAATGAATAAAAATGAGTAAAAAAATGAATGGTTCGAATCGCTTCCACTGGCATCGTGGAATGAAGTTAAGTTCATGTGTATAAGAGAAAAGAAAAAGAGGCTTAAAATTAGGAATTTCGGCTAAAAAAATGCTTAAAATCGTGGAGCAATATAGAAGAAGCGAAGAACAATGCATTCTTAGCAAATAAACACAAACAATTTTTTCTTTGAAAAACGAAATGATATTAATATAATGATTTTCATATGTTTCAGATATTTTTCCCCCGGTTGAGGAGGGGGGTTTAAACCATCCCAAAACGTCCCAAACTTTATGTTTTGTTGTTTTTAGCCTTTAGTCAAATTAACATATTTATAGCCTTCTCGTATTTGCTATCCTACCTCTGATATACTATTAAATACGCACAGCTTATACGACGCGCGTTTCTACTTTTGCTGCAACAACAAATCCGAAAACGTTTTTTTCCCTGCCCCTTACCCTCTCTTAAAAATTTACCTCTGAATACCCATCCTGTAAAACTTTTTGAATTTATGCGCTCCACTAAACTCAAAATTTAACCTTTCCCCTCAACCCTTTTGTATTATTAATGATGTAACCTTTGTAAACACACAGAGGTGTAAATGGCCTTAGATGCTAAATCACCGCTTTAAAATAAACTTATATTACTACTACTACAATCTTATTTTCCCGGTTTTTTTTGGCGTGTGGGTAAAACCGCATTACTTTTTTTCGCCAAACCCTCATTCAAACGTCGAATCGGCCGCCCAAAAAGAGGCAATTTCTGCAGCCGCTGCCAGTACCTCCAGCGTGCCCTTTGCTGACTGTGACCCCCGGCTTCCCTCAAATGCTTCATAACATCAATAGTCTCGGGATCCACATCAAATTTCTGCATTGTCAACAGCTTGTTGAACATGTCTCTGGTGTCCATATCGGTCAAAAGCTCGATATTTGTATACTCGAGCTTTTTCTTCAAGGACCAAACCGCCTCGACCGAATCGTCCTTCTTGAGCCGTTCGAACTCCGAGAGATCGATTTCGTACTCCTTCATTAGAGCCGAGAAATCGTCATTCGTTCTACAATCGCACGTAACTTCCACGTGGCCTGGCTCGACGTTTCCGGATGCGTCTTGAAAATTGACGATGACCTCGCCTTCGGTGACAGGGATGAGCGTTCCACACGCAAAGACGTCCAGGATGTTGAGGGAAAAGTAGCCTTCCGGTGCCTGGAGTGCGTAGCCGAACACAGCCGTGCAGTACTTGTTGCAGTGTCGTCGGTAATGGGTACTATCAACTGAAAAAATTTGTGAATTCTTTCAATTTTCAATCTTATGAATAACTTTTAGCTGAGAGAGTGGGAGAGGTATTCTATTTGTGCACCAAAAAAAAAATCTCCGGCTGTGGAAGCCGTACTTGCAAGCTGTACAGACATATGGTTCGCGTTCTGAGCTGAGAGGCCGTGAGTTCCGAGTGTAGCACCCGGAACGATGGAAACTACGGCTTCAACACCCGGAACTTTTGGCCTCTAAGGCCGGGACGAGTGGTATGTCTTTATAGCCTGTTAGATTTTGTCCATTCTACATTCTCCAAAATGGGAGTTTTGAAAGAGCCTTGCACAGAAAAAACCAAAATCTACCCTTTTTTGTGCTCTTGAAGTTGGGGTCCGTATGAGGATTTTTTTATCCTTGTGATGATCCCTAATAAATTGTTGGGGGCTATTAAATTCCTGGTCGTGTTATGATCACCAGGAAATCTATCAGTTAGTAGCAGATTTCTGACATTGTAAATCTAGTATATCGATGGAGAAACTGCAGAGATGCGTTTTCCGATTGGCAGCGTTGCAGACTCCCTATCATACTTTATTTTCTACGTGGAAAACTACTAAACGTCATTTTTTTTTAAATGTCAGTGATTTTTCTTCTCTTTATGAAAAATATTCTGTGAAAACTTCAAGCCCTGATGTTGGTTATGTTTGCTTTTAAAAAATGAAATAGTAGAGGAGATTTTGAAACACTGGAACCGAGACACGCAAATTTTCAGTTTCACTGTCAATTTGGTAAAATACATTGTTTTTTTTCTCAGAGTGGATTTCATGCACCCAAGTAAATCATAGAAATCAATACAAATTGCATTAAATACCTGTTACTGTGTATGTAATTAGACGGCTATGACAACGACCGTCATTTCAAATAAATTTTTATTTTTCACGCGTGAAAGGGGTATATAAAAGTACTGTCACTCAACTAAACTTACAATCCTCATCACCCTCGGGATTCTTTTCAAAGCAGAACTTCTTCAAAAACTGAGCGGATTCTTCTTTTGAGTTCCTCTCGTCATGTTCTATTTGGTACTTTGCCTTGTCGGCGTCCATCATAAGTTTCATGAAGTCAAACTTATTGGGAGGAGTTGTCCGTGCTGTTATGAGGCATAATAGAAATAATAGAAGTGTTTTAGTCAGCACGTTCAAATTTGACTAAAATTATTATGCTACGAGCAAACTGGGGCGGTGGCAAGGAATTTTTGCAGGGTTCAAATATAGCTTTTTGCAAGTTAATTTTTGTGAGAAAGTCAAAAAGTTCAAAACATTATTTCTGAGGGGAAAAAAAGTTTCTTTGTTCAAAATCCAACAAATCGAAAACTGACAGTCGAGTTGACGATGCCTAAGGCTGAGTTTGGTCAATCAGCAAACTCCGTTTATCCCCAGCCTAGCTGTATCGAGTAAAGCCCCCCTCAATAATACATCGTTTCAAACGGGTCCCATTTTCGGCATTTTCAAAAACAGGATTGCTTCGTTATCTTTTAACAAAACGGGAAAAATTCCTAAAGCTTATTATCTACGTACCTTCAGAAAATGACTTACAAAAAAATAAAAAATGGCGCGACTGACCTGTTTCAAATACGACTTGGATATGTAAAGCACAATACACGGAAAAAACAAGACTAGTGTTGAGCACTACTGGCCGTTTAGTGGGGAGTAGTTGAGGGCTGGCGTCTAAGCGCTGTACAGCTCAACACCGGAAGGCAGTTCAGGTAGGCACTGAACATGAGTAGTGCTAATCAGATGCCGCGAGACGTAGTTGCGCTTAACAGGTGTAAATTCACCCACGAGACGTCGGAGTTACCATAGCCTGGAGGTAACGCGCTGGTCTTCCACCGGCGCAACCCGAGTTCGAACCCAGGCGGAGGCGTTTCATATTTTACGCTCGCTCCAAAGTCACTTTAGGGCTCGACACTACTTCTTCCTTAGTGACCCAGCCTCGAGCTGTTTAGTGCCCAGCACTACTCTGACTTGCTGGCTCCATTTGATCTAACCCTCGTTAGTGTCCAGCACTAACATGTAGGTCCCAACCCTAAGCTCGTTTTTTCCGTGTAGGGGATGACTTAAATCTCAAACAAATCGTGTCAAGGTATGGAAGAATTCTTCAGAATTAGAAATTGAGATTCGAACAGAGGCGGATTCAGCAACTTGGCAACACCGGTTTCTCTCCATTTAAGCCTATGTTAAATAATCGATTCTTGTCGGAGCACGCGGCCCCCTTAAGAATCGATACATTTCCAAGGGTTTAAATGGGAGAAGATCAACGTTGCCAATCAGCTAGATCCGCCAATAATTGAATTAGTGAGTTCGAAAATAAACCAACTTGGGTTTCTTTTTCGCTTTTCCTTTTTTTAAGGTTTGATAACACTTAAAAATAGAAGCATCTGCACGCAAAAGGAAATTTCGAAATTGCAATCGGAAGTGCTCGAAAAAGCGACGGGAAAAGGGAAGAATCGAGGTATTTCATTGGAAATACCAATTTTTGGCCATTTCAAGTCAAACGGGTGATCATCCGATTTTGCGGTTTTCTTTTTTCGGTTCAGTATACCTTGTACCAACAAGTTATATAAATATTCAAGCGTGATTCAGGTCAAACAGTATACATTTTTCAGGGCAGACTATGAAAAATCAGTATCTGAAAGTCGGTGAGAATGAAAACACACCAACTCGGAAATGTTTAAACGCTTAATTCTCTGTCATCAAACATGGTGTATCGATTTCAACTTGGTGATTTACAAAGTCTCTAAGTACTTGTCCTTTGGCACCGAAAAGGTTTTTCTTAAACTAACTTCTTCGCCCGCTGCGCAGTTTTAGGTGTTTCCTGAACAACTTTTTTTTCCGAGTTGGTGTGTTTTCGAACTCACTGATTCCATTGAGGCTTAAAATATAGGAGTAAAATTTTTAATGACACTTGCAGAAAATATCAATAAGTTCCTTTTGAGTCTGCTCGTACAGACACCGATTTATGTCTTCAGTAGCTTTGCTGGAAGAGTCATCGGAGGAACTGCGTGAAATGCTCGTTGGAGAACTGCGCGAAGATTTGGATGAGGACCCGCTGTGTGAGCTGAAAGACTTGCAAGGGGTCCCAGGTTGAGCTTTCGTTGGGAACTTTTGCCGCAGCTTGCGTTGGAGCCAAGCTGAAGCGCCAAGCAAGAACTTCGGAAGTGACTTGGGAAAATGATTAGTGACAGGGGAGATAACTACTGATGGAACTGGTGATGGGGCGGATATGCGGACACACAGAGCGTACGGTGATGTTGACGATTGCTTGTGTGTTGCGATATTGTTTTTTCGAGAGCGCGAAAGTCCATCTAAAACATGAAAAAGTGTTACATGTCCATGTCCTACTTTGCAGACATCAGATGAATTCAGATTTGATGCGAATGACACTGAGATGTATCTTGATAGCTGCACCTTACACATTATCAAAGAATAAAGCTATTTAAAGTGTTATTTATCTTCAATATGTATATAAGCTGCAGCCATCAAGATACAATAATTAGGTAACATTCGCAAAATTTAGATAGATCATACCAGCCTCCTTCTTATCAGTGTGGAATTCATATGTATGTATAATCAGTACCCCTAGATTAAAGGTACCTAACTCTGTCTCAGTCTTTTTAAGATGTTGGGGTAAAACTTCACGTTTGTCTCATTGATTTGTGTGTAAATTCAATTTTAAACCCAACGTTAGATAAGGAGACAAAATGTCTGATTGGGAAAGCTATTGGAAGGCCTTAAAGCACCAGTGCCTCCATTTTCGATGAAATTTTGGGCATTTTTCTGCCCCAGAGTTACTGATGAATTTGGCAGATACACTGGACAAACCAAACCGAACAATGTTATTGGTTCACAAAAATTGGTGCTCATGCTCGCATACACATTTTTTTATTGACTAAAAAATCTTCTTCTGGTACTTTGTATATGTATCGAAAGGACTGTTTCAATTTAGTTTAGTCTTTTTTACTGAGTGTGTCTGTTAACTATTTTTTTAAAAATAAAATCTGTTCCAAAACGTACAGCATATAGCAGCGATTAATATCGATTATTTTCCAGACACGACAATACCATTTCAAACTATTTTAAATATTTTGGTATTGTACATTATCATAGTAAAAACCTCACAAATAATATTGAAGTAGGAATGCAAACATGTTCATGATACCTCTAGACAGCCGTTCTCTTGCACTTCTTCCAAGACTTTCCAGTATCTGATAGCCATTTGAGAGACCTGAACGAACAGAAAAGAAAATTTCTAGTTTTGAACTTACAAAAGAATCATGTCTGGAACGAATTGTTGCAAAGGGCTGTTTTTAGGTGTAATAAGATTCCAAGAATCTTGGATGAAGTTTTTTAAACATCTTTATGGTGAAAGCATTAAATCATCTTGCTATGGGCATATTTTAGGAGCATTATTTCATTTGCACATCAGGTAGGGTGTTCCAATAGTTGTTACAATGTGAGGAATACAGCTCCCGTGGGATCAAAGCGTGCCACGAGGAGTGAAAACAATTTGGATAATAATATTTTGATCCAGAAGGTTATACTGTCTTACCCATACAGCGGTTTGATACGCGCTTTTTAAGACTCCCAATTAGGTTTTGGTATTCATGAGATATTTTTGAGAGATAAGGTATTCCTAACCATTCAACTAAAGATACTGCCATGGAGCGGCTGCTCTTAGTTCAGACAATTCAGCGGCGCTTTTAAGAAATTGGCAACGCGAACGGGTTTTTATCCCCGTCTAAGTAGGTACATGAAAACTATCGATTCTGGGTGAGGAAGTCTGCCTCATGTAGATTTTAGAATCGATTGTTTTAAATACGTTTAAATGGACAAAAAACAGTATTACCGACTCACTATAATCACCACCAAAAATGATTTTTCGAGCCTTAGTGAAACTTTGGAAATAAGTTCCTTCGTTATTTTTGAACGAACTGGTTATTCGGCGGTACGGTAGTACGGTGCGCAGACTGGAAAATCTTCTAAGTATCGCCAAAGTGCTTTTACCCTTGAAAATTTCCTACCGCCAAGGTATCTTTACCGGATGACTTTTTAACCGGTAACCGGAAAATTTCCCACCGCTAAGGAGCCTTACCGGATGACTTTTGACCTTTAACATTTAACCTTTGTTTTTTCTTTGTTCAAACAATGAACCTGACGGATACTTAGAGGATTTTCTTATCAGGGAAAATTCCGGTAAAAACACCTTAGTGGTAGGAAATTTTCCGATTAGCGGTTGAAAAGTCATCCGGTAAAGGCACCTCAGCGATACTTAGAAGATTTTCCAGTCAGGGCACCGTACCGCCGAATAACGCCATCCATTTTTGAAAGGTATGATGAAGTTACATCCGGTTAAAAAAGTTCCGTGGTGCATAATTTCAAGTATTGAAAGAACTTTAATACGTGGCTGATTATAAGATCCATTCGAATTATTTTCAAGAGAATGATAGATAGAAAGTAGATATATCGATCAAAGTATATTGTTAAATTTATAAGGCATAAAAGAATGTAACATTTGATTGAAAAATTATCATCAATCGAGTATGGATGTCGAACCATTGATTTTTTTTCAAGCCTTACGCTTGACTTCATTCTCAAATGCAGAATTATTTAAAGTATGGTATCACTTTAAATGGTGCTTCGAATATGCAGCGGGTGAAAAGTTCATTTTAGTTTCATATTACTTACCTTTGGAAACAAATTCGAAGTATTTCCTCCAATGACGTGATAAGCATAGGTTAAATTTACCCTTGAAATTAATTTTCGGCTTTCCTTCCCGCCAAAATTTAAAACCTGAGAGAAAAAACTAACAATAGTATTAATTTATCGAAGCATGGGAAAATTGGGTATTGGCCTTAAAATTATATCACAATAATAAAAAACCAAGAGATTAAAAAGGAATTTATCAAAATCATTTGATCTCTGTATATTTTTGGTCAAGCGTGTTACAACACAAAACACTATTTCCAAAACTGACCATTGGAGTGAGAGAGTGAAGCATAAATCCGTAGATTCAGCAATATCATTGTTACTTTCATTTTTAGAGATATGTGAAATTATCCACGAAATCCACTTCAACAAAAGTGAC